TAATATTCAAAACACCTCAATCAATCTTCTGCTTTTTAAGATTATTTTCTTTTGTTGTCTTTAATTGTGAATAATAATTTATTATAATTACCGCAAATACGTAGAAATGATTTAAATTTCAGGTGATATTTTTATAATAGTCTTCAGTATGGACAGTCGTGACACATTTGAGGAAGCAATAAGATTAAGGGAGCAAATTTTGGAAACAAAATTAAGTGCAGCAGCAGCGTCGAGCACAAGCGGCATAGCAAGAAGGAAAATTTTACCCCGAGTACCTATGGTGATCGCAGGAAACAAATGTGATAAAGAAATGAGGTGATTTTATGATGTGCTCCCTTTTTCGGGGTTTTTCGAATACTTTAAACTCATTTTGATCTTTGACGTTATTATTATATGAATCTGTACGACACCTCATTTGCTAAAACCTCATGCACTTATTGTTTCTTTATTTCATTCAAACATCATAATCATCATCATCATAAGGTCTTCACCTTGAAATCCAATCCTAAGACTGGCACTTCCACTTTTTCCTATCCTGAGCTAACTTCGCATTTCCCCAAAACTAAAACATTCCACATCTTTAACTATTTGTTTTTTAATTCAAAAATGGAATTGCTTATTGTTTAAATAAGTTCAGTTCTGATTCACGGATTTTTAATGACGCTGTTTAAATTTCAAAAGATTCAAAGTTCAATTTCCAAAACTTCTTTCTTAGTGACTATTAAATCACATAATAAATCCGCTGACCAAATGTTTCTGGCTTCAGCAGTTTGAAGATAGTTACGAGTTACAGTACTACATTTAGGGGAATTCAATATGTTCAACTAAGTCCATTTACGTTGATCCTTGCTGAACTGAATTCTGAATATATGACAGGCACCACGTAACCAAATCGAACATAAAAGTTCATGCTGGTCATGTTTTGTTGAAACTGCCAGACGCGGATCGCGATTTCGATCTTGTTGGATCTCATCAGCCCATCGCAAACAGTTTTCACAGAATCAGGACCACCATGAACTTCCTTGTTCAACTTGATTACATGCCTACCACGTATGGTAAGCTACGCCATGGATTCAGTTGAGCAAATAGAAATCCAGCAACGTAAATAGACCTTGTTGAACATATTGAGTTGCAGCAAAGGTAGCATAGTACTACAGAAGGCTTTCACCACGTCGTTTGTATTAGGGGGAGCCCCCCCCCCGTATCGGGCACTTAAAGTATTTAATGGAATTAACCATTGGGTTAGTTTTTGGTTCACTTCCGAGATGGACCACCTATTCCGACGGTTCTCCCCTTTCAATGCCCCCACGCTTAACCATTTTTCTTTCTCAACCCTCTCCCAAATCCCAACCTTCCATTTTCTTCCCGGGGATGAGTAACCCTCAGGGTTTATCTCCCCACTGGAGGAGGGGTTTTAGTCGGTAAAAATTCGACACTACCTCCCTCCAGGGAGTGTCTTTTGAAGATTTCCCCTCCTCGAGAATAATCTACATTAAAGAAAAAAGCCGGATATGATCGGGGGGGTTTGTTCATGCTAATATGAGCGCTATTTTAAGTTTAGACGTGTTTTCTCTGGTACAACGTGCTGTCCGGCGCTAGAGGGATTCCCCCTACTTCAATTTTTCACATGTCTGCCATGATACTTTAGCGTTTTCCTGTTTTAGAACTGTTACGCCCGAAGAAGCTAAGAATTACTGTTCGAGCCAAGAATGTTGCACATTTGTGGAGGTTTCGGCGAAAAGGAGCTACAAAGTGGACGAAGTGTTTTATCAGTTATTCCTCAATGCCAATTTGCCGTTAGAAATGGCGCCGAATCACCATAAACGCGTAAGTGCTAACTTTGGTTCTCCGTGTCCGTTACCGCCATCAGCCCTCCCTTCACATGCAAAAAAGTATACTTTGTCTGTTAAACGCAGGTTAAGCGATGCATGCGGAGTAGTAACGCCAAATGTCAGACGTCCGAGCATAAGAACTGACCTAATGATAATGCGAACTAAAACTTGCTGCACCACAGATAATAACAGCAATCCTAATAGTCCAGGCCTAAGACTTAGAAGTGTGAAAAACAATTGTACGTTGCAATAACCCTAACGATAATACAAAAATGTTATACTTCATTTACTTTCTCTAGCAATGTGCCCCTTCCAATGTCTTGGATGCGCGCTGGCAAAATCGTAGGTAGGGAGAAAAAGCTCATTATACTCTCGACTCTTGTTCATTAAACATACTTTTTCATACAGTACTTGCCAAAAGTTTTGTTCAATAATGAATAGTAGTGCGAGTCGAAAACAAGCGTTAAAGCCTTTAATATGTCTTCAAATATAAATAAACATCTCGTTGATATTTTCNTGGTACCAATAACAGCACATTTGAGCAATGCAATTGTAGTGGATAAAGTGGTCAATTTTTCCGTGCAGTACTGTACGGATTATACGCTCCTCACCGGTTAAGAGTTTGACCGAGAGTTGTCTCCTTCCTTTTCTGGCCTAGTGCTGTTCTTTTCTACTTTGCGCCGGTCAAACTGAAGGTCACATCTCTACAGAAACTAAATGAAGTATACCAATAACATTAATAAATACATTGTTTTAAATTACTAATAGTGGTCAATGTTAATATGCAACATCAACTTGAAATCACTTTTCGATTTTGTTGTTTGTTTTATACGGGACCCTTAAAACATTTTTTTTAATGGAATTTTCTATCATAAGATGTTATAGATTCAAAAACAAAATCATAAGGTTTTGTTTAGATACTGTTATCTAAATTAACAATAAAGAAGAATTATTGTTAACTGATTTAATTAAGATATGATAAAATGGTTCAGAAAAGCGACTATAGGGTTCATTAATTCGTTTAGAAGTTTTAAACTCCAACTATTTGATTAGTCGGTGACGGATTCAGTTAAATGAGGGACACTAAGCAGTAAAAAGGCAAAAAGTAAGAAGTTTTTATTGAATCAAAACTAATACAACAATGTTTCAATTAAAAACTACAAAACAGTGTAAAAACGTTTTTCTTTGTATATTTGCTTTTCTTTAGTGAAAATCTGAACCCCAGAAAAACCTTTCTTTTAAGTACTTCCTTGTGACTCCAAGAATTTTAAAATTTTCTACCAGTGTTGAACTGTGTTTAGATGTTGAACAAAATACACAGAAATTTAGTTTATGCCATGTTTTAATCACAAGTTAGGCAACGTTAGCATTAGAATTCAACCAAAGAAACTGGGAAACAAATAAAATAACAATATTATAACCATTTTTATATGGATGCATATTTGTCTTGATTTATTTCTTGCAAATTCATCAATTACAACTAGCAAAGTAAAAACTTTCAGGTATAGGCAATATGTCGCCATCTACTGTGTATTTTCTTATAATAAAGTATACAAGGCTTTACTAAT